AGACTGATCTCCCAAGGTGGTTGTGAGGATCAAATGAGATAATATTTGTAAAGAGCTTAGCACAATGCCTGACACAGTAGGCACTTGCTAAATGCATGTTCCTCCCCTCCCTCTTTTTTTTTTCTTTTTCCTTTCCCCTTCCTTTTTGGTTTAATAGCTCTTTTGGTCAAATTTGGAAGACAATAGGCAAATAAATTCTTTCCAGCCTGTGTTGCATATACTTCATCCTTGGCCAGACCAGGATATTAAAGTATTTAACCTGTGCTCTAGCAATCCAAATCCCTTTTTCAGATAGCATCTCAATCAGCTGTTTACTTCTCCAATTTGCTTTTTTTCCTCCTCCTCCTCTTTCTCCCCTACCCCCTCTTCTTTTTTGGAACTCTTTGTGGATTTATACACTTCACTTCCAAACCTTCTCCTTAAGACATTTATCAACAACTCAGTAACCACACCCAGCTCCCTTTCCTTTTTCTCTGGAACTTTAGAATCAGAATCCATTTCCTTTTGCTTTTCTTACAGCCTCTTACTTTTTTTTCTCCAGTTGGTTTCATTTGCCTTTCTTATTCATCTTGCCAACTCCTTTCTCCTTGAGTCCTTCTCTTTAGATCTTTACTCCTCAAACCTTTTCCTCTTTCAGATTCACTTCTTCAAATTGAGATCTTTTTTTCCCCCCTTCAGCTCAAGTGTTCATATCCTTTCTCTTTACCAAATTTCTCTTTACCAAATTCTATCTCTATTAAATTAATAAATTTAAACTCTGACAATTTGCTTCTTATTATTCAGCGAGAGTCCTTCACACTTCTGTTCTCCTGGTCCCCCCATCCCCCCAGTAGAATGAATATGCAGGTATAGACTCTCCTTACTATAATGATGGGGCATTTATATTTTGTTGCTAGTTTCAACTTAAATCTGATTGGCTCAGTCTGCACAGTCTTATCTTTATATTGCACCTAGACTCCCGTTCCTACCCCGATTGAAAAGTCAGGATCAACAAAGATTCTTCCTCTACGTACAGGAGTATTCTGTCATGCTGGTTACCATAGCACTGGTTACAATGGTAATGGCTCTGTGGAACACACATGCCCAGAGAACATGCTTAGAGGGGATGTGTGTAGCTAAGGCAACTTGGGCTTCTTAGGTGGCATCCCTGCTGGAATCCTTTTCTGTCTCTGATGCTTTTGCTTGTTTCCCCACTGAGCTGTTTATGTCATTGAACTTTGATTTGCTTTGTCTCTTGACTTGGGTTTCCCTTCTGTTCTGTTCTCTTTGCTGCAACTCAGCCACATTTCTTTCAGCTTTTTTAGCTCATAGCCCCAGTAGTATTTCAGCTCTTTTATGATACTAGATGCCGCCAAGCCACAACAGGCCAGCAAGCTAGGGAAGTCTTTAGGCATTTAAATTTGTCTTTCTTGACAGTCTAAACTCTTGTTTGGGCAGCTAGGTGGCACAGTGGATAGTGTGCCAGGCCTGGAGTTAGGAAGACCTGAGTTCAAATGAGGCCTCAAACACTTATTTGCTGTGTGACTCTGGGCAAGTCATTTCACCCTTGTTGCTTCAGTTTCCTTATCTGTAAAATGAGCTAGAGAAGGAAATGGCAAAACTCTACTATCTTGGCCCAGAAAATGGAGTCACTAAGTGTTCTTTTTATTGCTGTTCAGTTGTGGCCAGAAAGTTCCTTTTTAACTCTTGATCTACCCTGTACAGATGGGATGTGTGTGTGTGTGTGTGTGTGTGTGTGTGTGTGTGTGTGTGTGTGTGTGTGTTGTGTTGGGGGAGGTGTTCCACCTTAACTGACTACAAAAGACCTGGAAGGAGGTGTGGTGGTGAGAATCTTTTTAGATCCCCACAAATCACTTCCTGGAGAAAGACTGAAAGGGGCTGCTGGATGATCTTTTGCCTCTTTTCCTACTTGCCCCATAGCAACCCAGTTGTTAGGCTTTTTGTGTCTTCTAGAGTTGTTCATACCATCTGGGGACCTAGCCTTAGGCTTCTATTTGGTCCGTCCTTAGTCTCTTGCTTGTGACTATTGGAAAAAATCCCCTTACTGGCCGGCTGCTCATGTCATTCTCTTGTCCCCTCTCCAAGCTTCTTCAGCCTTGGTCAAATGAGCCTCTTTTATGATCCTTAAAAAACCCCAGCTTCTTTTTATATCATAGTATAGGCATATATAAAATGTTTAGCTTTGTCGTGAAGCGTGCTGTTGGGTGAGTGAAGTATTCATTTTAATTTCTTTTGTAAGGCAGTTAAGGTTCAGATGAGCATAGTGTCTGGACAGATGGGAGAGGAGTCTGATTTTATTGACTTTTGGGCTCTTATTCCTTACTGTCTTCCTTGAGGAATTAATTGATTAGTCTTCCTCAGAAAACCAGAAGAGACTTCTGATTGAAACGTATATTGCAGACTCCTTTATTTCAGTTGAAATCATTAGCTTATTTCTTTTCCTTATTTAAAAGTAGGGTAGTATAATGGCTAGAGAGCCTCCTTCAGATTCAGGAAGGCCTGGGTTTGAGTTTGCCTTCAACTTAAGTCATTAACTGTGTGACATTGGACAAGTCATTTAACCTTTTGATGCTTTAGGCAGCTCTCAGGACTATTACCCAGGAACAGTTACTGCTTTTTCCTGTGCACAAAGAACTGGGGACTCTCCTTATTCTTGGTGAAATAAGAGGTCCAGCCCCTCCCCTCTCCCTAAAAGTGAAGAAAGCATAGAAAACTAATGTCTTATTTTCTTTTCAGTTGGGGGAAGGGTTTTGAATTATATGCTATTTAGGTGGCCAATTTCCCTGGTACAAGAGTAATTTCAACATTGTTTCTAAATCATTGTATTACCATATAACACTAACCATGAGAGAGTTGATTCCTTATTTCTTGCTGTTTTTGTTAATTTCTGGCTGATTGAGAAAATTAAAACTTAATTTTCTTTCAGTAATGAATGACTCTTGTATTGTAATCAGAACATCAACAATAGAGTTTATAACAAAATCAAACATTTCTCTTATCCTTAAGGGTTTGAGATTCTAGAGTGATGCTTGTGTGACATATAGTTGATCACATATTAAGTTTGAATCGTTTGGTTTCTAGTTTTTACTTTTCATGATAATAGATGGTCAGTGTACTCTCATCATGCCTATTATCATTAGATCTGCAGAATAAAAATGTGCAACTTTCTCAGAGTTTTTTTATTTAGGGGTATGACCAAAAGCTCTTTTGTTTGTTTTGTGGTTTGGTCCTCTGTGTACTTTGGGCCAAACTCTACCTTTGCTTCTTAATTTGTGTTATGGAAAACTACAGAAATCAATCACCTCTGGATAAAATGTGTCATCTGGTCCCTTCACAGTTTCATTATACATGAAAATCTGTTTCTTTAATGCAATAAATGTTTTTATTTGGCATTTAAGATTGGAATATAATCAATATAGTCAATGTAATTCAGTCTTTTAATGAAATCAACTTTTATGGTTCCTTTAATTTATTGGTTTCATCTACTTTTTTACATGTTTCTCATTTTGTGACTAATATATTGAGAGAATTGAGTTAACTCTTACTTTGTTGGTAGAAATAGTTTTTTTTCCCATCCTAGATAAATTAATGGAAACTTCTACATCTTACCTGAAGTATGCTTTAATATCAGGGTAAAAAACCCATAAAAACCCCTTTTCCATTTTAAGGGTTTTTTTTTTTCTCGGCAGATTAAGCTTATCTCTTTTTGAGTAGTTCCTAAAGGAAGGGATAAGTAATATATTCATCAACATCAACATTTCTAGTCATAAATTTTCGAGTATGAGAAATCTATGTGAAAAATTTTTTTCATCATATCAGATGCACATATTTACACAGAATGCCCAGTCTATTGTTGAATGAGACTTCTGAATTTTGATTTCTTTTATTGTTGCATTCCCTGCACCTGGTACAGTGTTGTGGCTACATATCTGTCTGGATGATATAGTGAGGCAGCTAGGGGGCACCACAGTTCCCAGAGGACTGGGCCTGGAGTCAGGAGGACCTGAATTCAAATGTAACCACAGACACTAACTGTGTGACCCTGGGCAAGTCACTTAAGCTCTGTCCTAGTTTCCCCAATTGTAAAATGGGTTGCATGACAGCACCGACCTCACAGAATTGTTGTGAGGATCAAATGAGCTGAAGTTTGTGAAGTGCCTAGCATAGGGCCTGGCACATAGTAGGTGCTGTAGAAACACTTATTCCTTTTTGTCCCTGGACTGTTACAGTAGCTCCGTGGCTAGATAGGTGGCTCACCCTACAGACCATTCTTCACATTGCTGCTGGACTTGATGCTTTTTGGCTCTTAGTCATCTGATTCTCCACTACTTTTCTAGCTTTAGCTCATTTTCTTCTTTCTCATGTGCCTATATTCACGTTAGTCTTCCCATGCACGCACTCTCCTGTGTGCCCTCCCCTTTTTTTGCCTCTGCCTTTTCCTCATCCTCTTAGCTGTATCTGAACCACCTCTTCCTCTCCCCGGGGGGTTTCCTCTCCATGTTTTCAAATGTTGCCTCTTCCTCACTGGATTTCTCCCACCACCCCCATCCACCCCAGATTCTAAATTTGACCTCTCCTAACACTTGGCACCTGTTTGATGAATGTAAGTATTTTGTATTATCGTTAATTTATGTGTGTGTACCATGACATCCAATAGGACTCTATGATCCAGTGTGGCAGAAACTATTGAAATTTGGCATTTCCCCAGTGCTCAACACACAGGCGCTTAATCAGTGTTCATTCAGTGCTTTTACTCTGTGCCAGGTCTGGAATTGGGGTGGGAAAAAGAGAAAAAAAGTTTGAGGGAATTCTCATTTGTTCTTTGCTGTGTATATTTGTGTATGTGCCACACACATGCATGTTTGCATGTGTTTTTGCAAAATTTCCTGACGCTTCTTAAGTATTTGGAGATGAAGTGCTTAGATAAACAGCAACGTTTAATTGTTTTTTCTCATACTGTAATTGGTAATTTTCTTTTTGTTTCCTTTTGGTTTTCATAGAACATTCAAATAAAAACTTTGGCTGATGATGTGGTAAGGTGGCCTTCACAGCATGTTCAGTTAAATTATCAATGCATGGTGTCTTTTCACTACAATATATGGACATTAAAACATTGATATATGTAAGAATATAAAGCAGCCACATCTATGCATGGATGTTATATGTATATATGTATATATTGTATATATGTAATTTCAACTTATGGACAGTACTTTTCCCATCAATATTGTTGATACTGAGCAGTTTTGATATTACAGTTATACTTGGATTTATTTTATATATCTCTTAAACATTACGTTTATTGGCAACGTCAACAGTTGCTCAAAGCTTGATATCATAACCCTTTCAAAACTAATTACATCCTTTTTGGATAAACATTTGGCTTCTATGCCATAATGAGGTGCTTCAGTAAGACTTTGATGGCTATTCACATCCACTGCTTGGTTATTGAATAACAGTCAAGAAAATTGAACATCAAATAGTAAGCAAGAAAAAACAAGATGAATTGTTCAGGAGGAATTTGATACCATCATCACCAATATTGGTGGAAATGATTACTGATACGAAGTTTAAATCTATCATTTTCATTCTGACCAATTAAATGAAAAAAATCCATTTTAAACAATACCTCCTTGTTTTATTTAGAAGTTAACTATGTACAAATGATAGTGTAGATTATTGCCGATACTTTACAAATGTTGCTGCTGTTTTGCTTAATTTCATTTCCCTTTGGAAAGAAAGAGGCAGAAGTTCTTTAGGAATCCAAGACAAAATGAATATAGAACTTAGGGAATAATAAGTAATTGAAGAGTACCAGTACCATTATTTTTGCATGCATGTAATGCTTGCTTTCATTGTAGCCATGTGTATAATGGAAAGTCAGAGAATCTGGGCTCAAATGTCATCTCCTATGCTAACTTCCTTTGTTACATTGGTCAAGTCATTTAATTTCCTCTAGCCTCGATTTTTTTTATCTGTAAAGTGGTTGAGCTGGACGTGACTTTAGAAGTCATCTAATGCAGCCCTCATTTTGTAGTTGAAGAAACTGAGGCCCAGAAGAAATTAAATGAGTTACCCAAGGTGGCAGAATGGAGGTTTAAATGCTGGCTCTCTGCCTCCAAATGCAGCTCTCTTCCTGTTGGACCACCTTGCCTCCCCGAGGTTAGACTCCATGGCCTCAGAGGGCCCTTTGATCTCTAGCCCAGGGCTTCTTCACCTTTGTTGGGTCATCTGGACCACTTGGGCAGAAGTCTGGGGGAAGCCCAAGGATCCCTGCTCAGAATAAGTTATTTTCAAATAATCGGAGAAAATGCTGAATTTCATTTAGAGCAGAGTTAAAATAAAGATGTTATCTTTTTTTCCTGTCCAAGTTCATAGACCTTAAATCTATCCATGGGCCCCTTGGGAGTGTGTATACCCTAGGTTTGGAGCCCCTCAGTCTGTGATCTTATTTATGATCCTACTTAATTTTTTGTTAACTGGTATATGGGGTAATGGGAGAAAGACCATGGAATATTGACTAGTTTCCTACATACTTAGATGTTTTAATGTCCATAATAACCATGTACACTGTGAAATATAACACGTTAGATACATTGCATGCCTTTAAATTATTTAGGGTTACTTCAACATGTTTTGTATATTAAGGTTTGAAAAAATTTATCTCTAAAATCCCCAGTTTTAAAAATCCTAGATCATGGGAACTTGAAATACCATATTATATATATACATATGTAAACCTAGATTTATGTATGTATATATGCATCTGTTATATGTATACATGCACACATACACATGTGTATGCACATAGCTCGCTAGCTAGCTAGAATGGAGATTGGGAGTGTCAGAAGTCTTAGGCTCTAGTTTTGGTTTTGCCACAGACTCCTTATCATTAAAATGGGAGGTGGGAGTGGGGGGGTTGACCAGGCTTGCAAGATTGTTTCCAGGTCTTCATATTTTATAATTCTGTTGTATCTTATCATGTACAACTTATGTGTCCTACAGAGTCAAATGGTACTTTGGTAACCCTAAATAAGGTGCTTTAAGCCTATGTGTAATTGATGTTACTTTCCAAGCATCTTTTTTCATGAGTGTTCTCTGGATGATTAAAATAATATGGTTTACTCTTTTCGTGAGAACTGAAGATTTTGTTCATAACATCCGTGTTCCTTTTGGCAAAGTTAAAGGGATAGAAGGGTTGTGGGCGAGCCTATGGTAGGTGGGGAGGTGAACTTCAGCATCAGCCTAGATGGGCTGGAACCCCTCCTTGCTGTTGGGCATGAGATGCTTGGGCTTTTTCATATGAATGGTGCAGGTATGCATGTGCTGCGTAATAATAGGGAAACCAGAATAAAACTGACCAGTATTCAGTTTTATGGACATGACTAACTTAAGTGCTATCTAATCCCTTCTTCAGATTACAAAACAAAAATGGAATTGTTTTTAAACATAACTTAAGCCATTAACTCTTTTTTCCTGTGAAACTGCAAGCTAATTAACAGAGATTGTGCTTTGAAACAGTGCCTCAAGATTTGGTTCTCCTTAACGCTGTGGTCCTCAGAAAAGTGGCCATGTAGAAATGAGATATTATTTTTTTTCCTACTCACTTGTTATTTAGCAGGCAACAAAATGGCCTTTTAAGATTTTCCATATTGGAAGTAACTGGGACCTCAGATTTCTGCTCTTCCCATGGACTGTCATCCTCACTGACATTTTAGCCATGAAAATATCTCCTAGTCTTTAGGAGGAGGGAAATCCCTGCTAGCCATTTCCCCATAACTGGGGATATGTATCCAAAGCTTGGAGCTTGGATGTTTCCATTTTTGCACTGAGGAGATGTGGCATGTCTTTTTTAGGCATTGGGGAAGAAGGAAGCTTTGGGCCAGGGGAATACCTTTCCTCAACCCCCCACATCTCATTTGGGGAACTACTTTCAAATTTCACAATAGTACACTCTCTGATTAGAGTTTGCAGCTTAAAACAATATTTAGTCATAGTTGTGACATGTTTGATGGGTTGTATTAAGAATTATTTAGATGCTTCATTTCTTAGTGTTTCTTGAGCCCTTTCTTAGAGCTTTTCCCCCTTCTTATTTGCAGCGAGACCGAATTACAAGTTTTAGAAAATCTGCCATCAAGAAAGAAAAACCTCTTATTCAGCACCCCATTGACTCTCAAGTTGCCCTGACTGAATTTCCAGCGTCACAACTGCTATATGAAGAGCGATCCCAGAATTTGTCCGAAAAGGAAGTGCAGGATATTTTTGAAAAAATGATGGTAAGTCAGACCCCTTGTTTTGTTGTAAATTGTCGTGTGTGTGTGTGTGTGTGTGTGTGTGTGTGTGTGTGTGTGTGTGTAGAGTGGCACTTGGCTTGGTTTTGTTTATGTGTACATGCTGCTTCTACAACTTAAAGAGAGAGGAGAAGCAATTAGGTGACCCAACAACTCTTTTCCAAAGAAAACTTCAACATCTTGATTGTTGATTGATTTTTTTTTTGTACAGGGTGTGATTTCATCTTGCTGAAAATACCATCAGCTATTTCATGGGGGTATTAAATGAGGTACAGATCACATGGCATACTAATTGTGAAGCACTTAGCACTGTGCAGTTTCTCCACTCTGCTAGCAAATTGCCCACGTTTTGGAGTGAGTGGGGTCTTTTATCGGGTTGCCAGGTCACATATTTTGAGTATTCTTTAGTAAAAGTACTTTCTTACTTTGAATCCCTCCTCCCCTTTTCTCTTTTGCCAGCTCCAGCTCATTGTCAGGCACACCACTAGCCATTTGCCTTTTTTACTGACATTATTAGTAGCATGAGACAATGTGGAGCCATCTAGCATTTATCACGCCCTTCCTGTGTGCCAGGCAGCATGCTAAGTGCTGGGGTTACAAAGAAAGACAAAACAGACAAATAAACAAAATGCTCCCTGCTCGCGAAGAGCTGGCAGTCTAATGGGCACAGTGTTTGGTCTGTGTATGTGGCCATTATTCATTGGAGAGTTCCTGTACCCTGGATTTCAGAACTCCAGCCTTTGGCCATAATTATCCCCAAGACTGCCCCAGGAATCCTGCTTTTTGGGGTGAGGGCATGAGGGAGAAGGTATGTCGGGCCATTCTGTTCAGCTTGTGGTACTGGGATTGTTTGGCTTGAGGAGAACGCCAATGCTTAATAGGCCGAGAGGCCGAGAACGGGAGTGATATGGGACTCAAATCTTCAGGGCCTTGGGAGTTGAGGAAGGCTGGAGTTACAAAGAGAGGTACCCAGAAAGTTATTTACAACAGAAATAAGATTGGGAAGTTTTGATATCCTGTTCTTTTTTATTTTCTACTATCTTTTGTATTTTTGCCCTTTATGCTCTCTAGCTCCTATCTGCCTTATTTGTTGCCCAGATAAATGCTCTAGACTTAGCAGACTTACTCTCCAAGAGGATTTTTTGACCCTTTTATTTAAGCGTTCAACCATATCTGAAGGTTGAAGTGACTTGTGTATGACCTGTTGTTCACCTGCTGTGGAATCCAGTAACAGGTGCAGTCCACACCTCATCCAACAGCTTTGGCCGCCCAGAATCACAGAATTGGAGTGGCAGCCTCCCTGCCCCCCTTTGGGACAGTGCCTGTGTTTAGCCCAAATTACTCCTGTTGTGCTCTCAGCCCTATCCATACAGGTAGTCAGCTGGCTCCTCTCTAATTCTGGCTAAACCTTCCCATTTCTTTCAGCGGGTTCTCATGTGTACTAGACTTGAGGCCTTCTGCCATCCCGATTGCCCTCTTGAATTCTCTCCAGTTTATCTGAGTCCTTCTTAAGCTGTGGGCCCTAGACCTTCACACTGTGCAGAGAACGAAAGGGCAGTCACCTCCTATTTCTGGCAATTGTTCCTCTCCCAGTGTAGCCCAAGATCACACCTAGAAGCCTGCCTTCCCCTCCCCCCATTACTTGGTATTTATTTTGTGTATATATTTTAAATACTATTCTGTCAGTACATGTTACTTCCTGTAGTAGGCCATCGAGGCCCGGGCTTGTTTTCTTTTGTTTGTTCTTTGTTTCTTGGTTCCCATATCACAGTGCTGACTCTTTGAGCTGTCAGTCCTCTAAGAAAAGGGAGGGGAAAGGGGAATGATCGTTGTGTGCCAGACGCTGTGCTAAGTGGTGCTTTTTTAATTATCTCATTTAATCTTCAGAACAACTCTGTGAGGTAGGTGCTATTTTTATCCTCATTTTATACTTGAAGAACATTTAGATGAACAGTGGTTAAGTGACTTACCCAGCATCACACAGCTAATAAGTGTCTGAAGCCAGATTTGAACTTGTTTCTTCCTGACTCCTTGCTTAATGCACTATGCGTTATGCCACCAGCTGTTTCAGTCTTTTTCAGAAAACCTGTTGCCTCTTCGTGACCCCATTTGAGGTTTTCTTGGTAAAGATACTGGAATGGTTTGCAAGTTTCCTTCTCCAGCTCATTTTACAGATGAGGAAATTGAGGCGAATACGGTGAGGCAGCTTGCCCAGGGTCACACAGATCAGAAGTGTCCGAGCCTAGATTTGATCTCAGGCCCAGCATTCTATCAACTGTGCCACCCAGCTGGCCACTAGCTGGGCTTGGTGTCAGGAAGACCCATTCCCCCCAGCTTCTAAGGCCTTCCTTTTTGAGATTTACATTCAATCTAGCCTGTCTATATATATTGTATGTACCTAATAATTTACATGTTGTCTTTCCTATTAGCGCATTCCTGTTTTTTGTTAAGGCAGGAAAGGCGGGCTCACCTTTGATGCTTTGTGCTTAGCACAGTGCCTGGAGCTTGAGGACTGGCCAACAGACCGAATGAGCCTGGGCAGATCTCTTAGCTTCTCTCAGCCTCAGTTTCCTTGTGTGGCAATTGAAGGGCTTGGACTAGAGGGCCTTGAAGATCTCTGCTCAGTCTTATTCTCTGATCTTCAGAATCTCATTTTATTCCTTCTATGTAATCTCACTTGGTGACTTCAGCTACTTCCATGGTTTTAATGACCTCGATGCAGTCTGTCTATCTGTCTCTGTCTACTTCTTCTTTCTCCTGAATTTTGGTTGTGCTTTTCTACCTGCCCTTTGTACTTTTCAAATTGGATGTCCTGTAGGTAGCTCAGTATGTCCAAAATGGAACTCATCTTTTCCACTAAAATCCACCCATCTTCCAATCACCTCTACTTATTTCAATTGAGGACACCATCATCTTTCCGGTCACCCAAGTCTGCAAGCTTGGTATTATACTTGTCTCCTCACTCATCATAGCCAGACCACTTGTCAAGCCTTCATGTTTCCACCCCAAAACATTTCTTCTCCTCACCCCCTTCCATTGCATGGCTACACCCTTGTTCAGGCCTTCATTGCCTAGTGTCTGGACTGTTGCCGTAAACTCCTTTTCCAGGTTTCTCTGTCTCAAATTTCTCCCCTCTCCAGTCCATTCTCTCCTCAGCTTCCATAAAGAGTTTCCTAAAGTACAACTCTGACCAGATTACTTCTCTACTCAGGAAACTCCAGTGGCTCTCTGCTGCCTGTACAATCGAATCCAAATTGTATCTGACTTAGTAAGCTCTTCACCTGCTGGCCCTACCCTCTCTTTGCTCCATGTTACCTGTTGATGTGCTTCACATGCTCTGCAGTCTAGCCAGGCTGGCCCTGGTACAGTTCTTCTTACACCACACTCCATCTCCCATGTCCAGGCCTTTGCACTGCTGTCCCCTGTCAATGGAACACAATTCCTCCTTCCCTCACTCTTCTTAGAATCCGTCGTTTCCTTAAATATTCAGCTTAAACATGAAGCCTGTCAGGGGCAGCTAGGTGGCACAGTGGATAGAACATGGGCCCTGAAGTCAGGAGGATCTGAGTTCAAATCCAGCCTCAGACCAAACACTTAACACTTACTAGCTGTATGACTCTGGGCAAGTCATAACCCCAGTTGCCTAAAAAAAAAGAAAAGAAAAGAAAAGAAAAGTATTAAAACATGAAGCCTGTCCTGGCGCTCCTCCCCAGCCCTATGGCCTCTTTCTACCTCTCCATTACTTTGTATTTATTTTGTGCATATTTATAGGTATATTCTGCTTCCTCTTGCAGGATATAAGACTATTGAGGCCTGGGCCTGTTTTAATTTTTTGTCTCTGTATCCCCAGTACCTAGCACAGTGCATCACCCATAGCAGATGTTTCAGAAATGTTTATTGGTTGATTCATGGATTGATTATTAGATTTAGCCCAAAACTTTGGAGGCTCTTGAATAACCTTCAGTGCTTTTTCACTTGATCCCTGTCCCACAATAGCAGGTGAGTAGCTTTTCATCCCAGTTGGCTCCTGAGTGGATACACATGGATGGGTTGGATGTGGACCCTTCCATTGACATTTCCAAATGTGTTTTCTCTCTTCTGAAGCAGATAACTTTCTTGGCCCATCCCTTATTTATTTTCCTTGCATAAAGTTGTAGACTGTCTTCCTGCTGCTTGTAACTCTTCATTTGTAGACATAACTAACTATAGAAACAGGTCTTTTAATGATTCCTGATGTGCTGCTTTTAAATGGTAGTGATTTTAGCATAAGAAATAATGAAGATAAACCTATTAATAACAGATTGCCAAGAGATTGATAGGGCTTTTAAAGGGCTGTGTTTATTTAGTGAATTTCAAGGGTCAAGTAGCTCACAAAGTAGATTTCCCTTGTGCACTCAGTACCCAGAGAAGGTGGGACCACAGAGTTTTTACATTTCCATTCCAGCAGTTTAAAAAAAATATTGCTAATGTTATATCAGAAAATGCGCGATTTTTAAGTGGTTTGCCTACTGCATTTACAATTGTGATATTTAAAAAAAAATTAAATCCTGGGTCTTACCTTTTTCTCCCTATGGCAATATATTTCTAATTTTAAAATGGAAATCAAAAGGTAATATGCTTTGGTGTATAAGACTGTATGTTAACAGCCATTTCTCTAGGAATATCCATTCTACAGAGTGCAGCATTCGCTTGCCTTCAGTGTAGAAAATTATATGCTTTCTGGTGAACCTTTAGTTGAAATAGAATCAAAACTGGTAATGGCTAGGGCTATCTTGTGAGACTTCAAATTCAAGCTAGTTTTTTTTTTTTTAAGTAATATGTTGAATCCTAATTTTACAGAACTATTAATCACAGAAAAGAGCTTTATATGTAATGTGATTTTTTTAAATCTTGAATTTATTGCCTTCCTTAGTGTCTAACTTCCTAGGCATCACATAGCTCAAAACTTGTGTGTTCGTATTATACAATTTAAACTAGATATATAG